TTTGAATTTTGTTTTATTTATTATATATATCTTTCAATTATTAATGTGTAATATATAAGATAATTTCTGCAATATATAATTTATAGAAAAAAATTAGAAAAAAAATTAATATGAAAGGACAATTATTTAAACTAGATATCTTAAACACAAATTTGTATAAATGGAAACATAATTGAAGAGATGATATTCATTCAATCTCAAAATTGTTTATTAATATAATCAAATTTTCATAGAAAGTATTATATAATGTTTTATTAATATTTAATGTTTTTAAAGAAAAAGTTGAAATTAAATGCACTATATTTATTATTTAGTATAATTATCTCTCTAATAAATTATCGACAAAAATATATTTAAACATAATGATAACTTAAAAAAATTTTATATCTGAAATAATAAATATCATATTTAATGTCGATTTTTATTCCTATATTTTATTACATCATTAATATTATTATATTAACTGATTAGTTACTTTTAGCTATAATCCAAGAAATATACAAATTCTTCTTAATCAAAAAATTATTTAATTTTTGTTGTCAATTCTTGTTGTCAATTGTTATTTTTATTTTCTATCCCTGTTATTTTATTACATATCATTATTATTATTTAAAAAAAACAATATAATTTCTATGAATTAAACTTCTCAATCACGTTCTAAGAATATAAACGCAAATTCCTATTTTCTTGATCTCCCATCGTTCTCACAGCATCTTTACATTTTTCATGCATAACTAGCTTGAACCATAAAGTATCTTCCCATTTCTGTTTTCAGCTGGAATGGGTCTGCGACCACGCATTCCTTAGCTCGGCGGCACAATCGGCCTTCTTCGTGGGCAGCATGCTTGGAGGTTTAATATTCGGTTACATAGCCGACCATTATGGCAGAATTCCGGCGTTGGTCGCTTGCAACGCGATAGGTTTCATCGCTTCTGTTGGCACCGCGTTTTGCGACAGCTTCTGGAGCTTCTGTCTCGCAAGATTAATCGTTGGATCATCATTCGATAATTGCTTCAACGTGCTTTTTATTATCGGTAAGTCGTTGGAAAAATTATAATGAATACTAATATGGTAAATTTATTAATTATCATTACATTTTATATATAAGATATTCGGAAGAAGAGAATTTAATCAAATCAATTTGATTTCAAAAACTAAAATAAATAAAAAAAAATTAATATGCAAAAATATCGGTCGAGGCTTACTTATTAAGTTATAAGCAATTTAATTTTATAGGTAAAATAAAAATGGCGATAAAGTGGCTCCATCTTCGTCCCTCTTCATTCAATACAAAATTAAATTGCTTATACAGCGAACTAATTTATTTTAAAATCTTATTTATTATAACATCGTAATATTCTTCGTCATAAAATATTTCCTCCCTTTTAATTTAAAAAATAAATTTCAATAGATATTTTTGTATATCAATTTTTATATTTGTTTTAGTGTCTAGAATTATTCCTTAAATTTTCTGTATGTTATATATATATATAAGATAAACCGTCTAAAAAAATTACAAGTCTTTTTTTTTTCTTAGTAATTAATAGTAGATATTGAATTTCTTTTTTCTATTTCAATAAGCTGATTATTGATATAAAAAATATTTTGTGACAATATATAGAAGAAGAAAAAAAGACAATATATAGAAGAATAAAAGATCTGCCATTTTTTTTAAATAAAATATTAATTTCTATTTATTGAGATAACTGCTACAAAACTGAATAACATTTATTTGAAACATTTTTCATTATTCTACATAATTAAAGAATTATAATGAAATTGATATAAAAAGATTACGCTAAAACGTTAAAGAATAATTATGTAGAATTATTCTTTTATTAGCATCACAATGGAATGCATCAAATGCTTTTTTTATGGAAAATATCAAGGAAAATTACAAATCATTTTTATTTTTAATACGACATAATGATATTCAATATTACTATTTATGCTGTGCAGTAGAAAAAATTATCATTGAATATCATCTATCAAAATAATTGTGTTCTTATCTATATTGAAAACAAAAATGATTGTATAATTTTTCTTGATGTTTTCTTTAACAAATTTTCATTGTATATTAACAAAAATATGTATTATAGCATTTATATTATATTATAATTTATATTATAATTATTTATATTATATTCTATTATATTATATCTCATTTTTTTAACTTTGATCATTATTTAAATATTATATTAGATTTTTTGTTAATTTAATAAATACTTGTATTATTTTATTCAAGAGGATCCATAGAATCATTTTTTGTCAAAAATAACTATTATTATAGAAGCACAAAATATTTCCAAAATTGCATTCAAAAACAATGAGTTTTAAAAAAGAAACAACTTTCATATTTAGCACATTAAAATCTATAAGAAATGTCTACTAAAAATTACAAAATCGAAAAAATGTTAAAATTTCTCGAACTATTTTTAACAAATATTTATTATCTCATTTTTTATTCAATATTACGCTACGTAAAAACTATCAGATTAACAATACAAATACTCCATGAAGAATTTATGTGGATTAATATATATTACAATATATATTCAAAATAAATGAAAATAAAAATCAATATAATACATAATTTTTCAATTAAAATCGAGAACAATCCTATCGAAAAATAAAATAAAAAAAATTTTAATTTGAAATATGAACATTTATACATGTATAAAAGTAATAAAATGAAGAATACTGTTGAAATAACGGAACGATATTGCTTTGTCAAATAAAGAAAATATATTGGGAGAACATTTGGCAAGAATGACATCTTTTTTTACATCCAGATACGTAGTAGATATATTTTTGACTGTAATAAAGAAAATGTCGTAAATGCCCTTTCAGTGATAGAATATGTCGGCCCGAAATATCGAACTCTTGTGGCAAATATGTCTTTCGGACTTTATTTCGCGGCAGCTGCGAGTCTTTTACCTTGGATCGCTTATTGGATCTCAAATTGGAGGATTTTAAGCATGGTCACCGCTTGTCCTATGGTGGTCGCATTTATAGGACCATGGATTGTTCCTGAAAGTGCACGGTAATTCGATTAACGTCCAAATTTCCAAATTATCAAAATAATATATATAGATATATAAATTTGAAATTATATACATGTTATATGAATATTCTCATGAATACTCGAGTATGAATATAAATAAGATTACATAAAATTGAATATAAGTGTGTTTAATCCTTTCATAAAATAATAGAATTAGAAATTCAGAATGAAGAAATAATTATTTTTTTTTTATCTTAATTTTTTTTAAATAAGAAAATATATATATATATTATATTTTTAATTTTTTATTGATAATAAATTTTATGATTCTTTCGTGATTTATTTCTTTTATGTCAAAAATTATGAAATGTTTAAATTAAAAAAATATTAAAATATGCAGTGTAATAATTTATATAAATTCAATATATTTCATTTCATTCCATTTTTATCTTTAATATTTATTTCGATATTTCGTGTTTCTTAATGAATTCTACTTTCTTATAAAAGAGATATTAAAATGTGAAGACTTAAAAATTTAAAATTATCTATGAATAAGTCTATCCAATAATTATTCGCATAACTGGTTATTCGATTTTGCAAAAAAAGAAAAAATATTTCAAGATCAACTTCTTTTTCTCAATGAGACACACTTTTTATTGCACTTTGTAAGCGAATGATTAATCACGTTTGAAACAAGTTCGACAACCTCCGTTGTAATGATATTTAAATCTGTAGAAAAGAAGATATTTAACAAAATGAATAAGTGTTTAATTTCCATCGAAAAAAATAATTTTTAAGATTTTTTTTTTTTTTATCAAGATTTATACAAGTTTTATTTACATATCTCATATATTTTTTCACAGTTGGTATATAACCAGTGGAAGAATTGACAAAGCGATTGAGATGCTAAAAAAGTTTGCGAAAGTGAATGGCAAGGAAGTGAAACAGGAAATATTCGATGAATTCGAAAAAAGTTGCAGAACGTCGAACGAGAAGGATCAATCGCATAATAAATATACCGTCCTGCATCTCTTTAAACTGCCTCGACTCGGTCGTATCACTATCATGCTCATTGTTTATTGGTAAGTCAATCTTTTTGATATTAATTTTGATAATAAATATTAAAGAATTATAAATTTTTGATTTATTAATTTTTAATATTATTTTAGAAAAAAATTAATTGAAATATTAAAAATAATTTTATTTTTATTTTTAATTTCAATTAATTTTAATTCTTAAATTTTTTATTATTTTTATTCATTTACTTTTTTACTTTTATAAAAAAAAAAAACTCTTTGATATCATATCAAAAAATAGCAAAAAAAAATGATATGCGATAAAAATGAGGAAATAATATTCTTGAAAACAAAACTATAAAATAAATAGTGTAAAGTAACTGTATATACAAAAGAAATATAGTAAATCTAAAAATATAATAAACTTATTTTATTAATGTATGTTGAATTAGAAAAAAATAGTGTAAAAATTAATTAAAGATGATTAATAATTAATAATCATATGTTAAAATTTATAAAGTATGTTGCAATTAATTATATCCATAATATATTTAATTATAAGTATATTATAGTTAAATATATAAATTGAAAAATTACCTCGTTATTTTAAATCATCGTATCTATTGCCCACAACTATTGCTATAAAAACAACATTGAAATAAATTATCATAAAATAGTCATAAATTACGAAAACAGATATTATGAGTATTTTATATGGATTATTAAGTATCGTTCATGCGGTATCTAAGTATATATAATTAATATGGACAAAGTGCAAACAGTGCTCGTGAAGGATTTATAAACGATCGGGAAACCTGGTGATTTATCTATGACACGATTCGCTCTTTTCTAGGCTGCTTATGGTGTGGGTGTTCGATGGTCACGTTTGGAACATGAAACTTCTAGATCCTGACGTTTTCACGTCCTTCTCTTTGGCTTCCCTCACGGAACTTCCGGCGGCCGTACTACTTGCCCTTTTCCTCGATAGATGGGGCAGACGATGGATGGGTTTCGCATCAATGTTCCTCTGTGGCGTTTTCTCCTTTGTTGCCCTTTCCACCCCTGCTGGTAAGTCTTTTTTTTATTCTTCTTCTCTTTCTTTTTTTTATAAGTAGCTTTCATCAATGAAATTATTCAATAAAATACGAGGAATATAAGTTAATTAAGAAAGATAGAATCTGATTTATCGATATGTCGATTTAAAATATTTTAAAAAATTAAAACATTCCGGTGAAAAAATTATTTTCCTATTATAAATAATTATAAAGTCTTAACATGTTGTTATTAAATTCAAAGATATTATAATCTTAAAAATAAGAATTTTTTCAAAGATTATCATTATTGATCATCCGAGAATTCTATTCGTTGAGAAATATATTAGGATTTTAAAACTTAAGTAAATACATCATTCATCGTTGACAGATCATTGAATGTAAAGAAATCTTTCTACTCAAATTCTTCCCCCTTATTTCATTTCTTCAATTTAACCAAGAATCCGCTCATTAAGAGTATTATTACACACAACAATATGCATTCAAAGGGATGACATTTGATTTTTAACTGGACCAAGCGTGGATCGGTCGAGTGTATCGTGCGTAGAATGCGGCATTCATGGCATTTACATATTTCTCAACTTGTTCAAGGCCCGCCAACGGTCGCTATGGCGATCATCGCACGTCTTGGAGTGAATGTCGCGGCGAATATTGGTTTCCAATATGCAGCTGAAATGCTGCCTACCGTAGTGCGAGCCCAGGGTGTGTCTTTGATCCATATTATCGGTTATGTCGCTCATATTTTAGGACCGTACATTATTTATCTGGTAAGTGAATCGAAATATCTTTTAATTGTTATAATAAAATATAAAAAAATTCAAAAGTCAATTAGCTTTTGTGCTTTAATATTGGTTTAATGAAGAAAAATAAGTAATTAATTGTTATATATAATAAAATTAATTTTTAATTTTAATTAAAATTAATTTTCTTTTAATAAATTTAAGGATATAGACAAGTATAAAAAAGATATTTTGATTAGTTCTGAATTGTATAAAAATATCGAAAATATTTCTTTTTACTCTATTTAGGCTGATATTGACGCTGCTTTACCCCTCATTGCCCTTGGTCTTTTGTCCTTTATACACTCCTTCCTGACCCTTGGCTTGCCGGAAACTCTGAATCAGGAACTTCCAGAAACCCTTCAGGAAGGTAACGATTTTGGAAAAGAACAAAGCTTCTGGTGGATTCCCTGTATATCCTCGTAAGTATTATATTATTTGTATATTTTATTATTTTAATATTGAACAATATATATATTATATAATGATATAAATGTTATTTATTAATCATAAAACTATTCATCTATTTGAATACTTTTGTTTGGTTCTTAAATATAATTTTGCATAATCTTTTTTATTTTATTTTTGACGAGCAATATTATAAAATTAGAATAATAAATATTTGTTAAAAAAGAAAAACAAACAAATATTTTCCATTGTCTTCTTATGATACGTAATTTTATATAAAATATTTTATAATAAATATCTTTTGATCAATTATACAGGATGTTAATATATAGGATATGAAAAATCGATTCGAAATAAATACAAAAATTGATGTACAAAAATATCAATTAAAGTTCATTTAATTAAATAAACTAATAAATTTTATTTATTAAATTGTAAACATTCTAAATTTGCATTAAATCACACTTTCATTCAATTTCATTAAATGCAAATTGCTTATAATTCAATGAATAAACCTGAGCTTAATAATAAACACTACATTTTTGTGTATTATATTGTATGCTAAAATTTTTATATTTTTATCCATTTTCTAAAATGGATTCTCCAAACGTGCCTCACAATAATTTATGTATAAGTATATTAGGTACATTTAAATTCAATATTGAACATATATTAAATCTACATCTTCCTTTTACTAAAATAATATACTATAGTAATATATATTTATACAACTTATACATATTAATGTTCTATATATGTATATTTATTTAATAATACTAATATATACTATTAATATATATATATTATATTAGTCCAAGTATTAGTCCAAGAAATATATATTGTAAATTTTTTTCCAATTTTTACAGAAGTAAGATGTTGAAGAAATCTTACAGAAAGAAGAAAGGTCTCTCGAATCCAGCCTTCACTGGTAGTGTTCAAAAGATCGACTGTACTAGATTATAGCGACTGATTGAATTATGTGAAATTTACCAAATCCTTTGTAAATATAGTTATTAAACGTGCGAGTGTGATGTTAGATGTTAAGATACTGTGCATGTGTTGAAAAATTGTTGAGAGATGTAGAGAGGGGTATCAATTGTTGAATTAATAACAACACAGTGGAAGAGACAAGAATCATTAAATTCTAAATGATATAATTTTAAGTAATTTAAAAAAAAGAAAAAAAAAGGAAAGAAAAATGAAAAACATTTAATTGTATAAATATAGGGACATTTAAATTCAGTATTGAATATATATTAAATCTATGTCTTCCTTTTGTAAAAATAATATATTGTAGTAATATATATTTATACAACTTATATCGTAAAATTAGAAACAAAAATCTAATTTTTTTGCATTTTTTTTTTTATAAATATTGTTAAAGTTTGAAAGTTTTTTCGTTAAAATTTTAATAAATAGGAAAATAGACATTAAGAGATATTATACTTTACTTAAATTGATTTATTTATAACAAATGACAAAGAATGAGATTCAAATGTACTTTGATATATTGTTAAGCCATCAACTTGTCTCGTTTATGCTGAGAATTATCTTTGTATTTAGTAATATAAATAATTCATGAATAGTCGAAACTTGAGTCGAGAAATTCGATTAACTTTTAAAAATAAAATAATTTACATTTGCTCGATCAACATAATTTTTCATTGTTCTTCATTTGTTCTTTAATGCATTCAACAAAATGTTCGATATAATTTTCAAAAAAGATATGAATTAATTTTTGTTATCTATTAATATATTCACTTTATTTCAGTATTATTATATTTAATCAAAAAATATCTTTTAGTAAGAAATTTTTATTCTTACTAAAGTATTACTTCTTATTAAATATCTATCGAATCATTATGAAACGCATTAATATAAATAATAATTATAATGCATTAATAAATATTAATAAATATTAATGCATTAAATACCGTGATTTCAATTTGGGAAAGAAAAAAATTTATTTATGTTTCATAGCATCCATAGTAATTTAGAAATTAGAAAATTTTTTCTAAACACTTAAAATAAAAACATATTTGATATGTTAATTATAATTTTAATATTGCTAATTATTTGCCACGACAATGATACTTTTGATTATTATTGGTAATTTTTTTTTTTATTCATAGAATCTTGCATGTTTTCAATCTATGCATTTTCAATTTGAAAAAAAAATTTTTTTTTATTCTAATGCGAAGTTTTTACGCAGTATTATAAGAAACTTTAAACACGTACGTGTCAAATACGAGTATGCTCGCATGTAATTGGCATGATGTCAGCAGTTAATGTGTTAAAGTCGTTTTTTCTAAAATGATTTTTAAATTATAATATATCTATACCTATATGTTTACAACAAATGAACAATTTTTATTATTTTTCAAAATAATATTCAATGTTATACAAAAATATATTTCGATTAAATTCAATAAATCAAAATATGTATATAATTATTGTATGTATATTAAAATTTCATATAACGAACAAAATATCGATTAAAAAAATTTAGAAATATTTAAAATAATATTTAAATGCTGCTCCAAACAAATCGAAACTTTGTCTCGAGTTCGACTATAAGTAGTAAAAAATTTTCATCCGTGAAAAGATATATAATTTGTTCTTTTCAATCCTCCGATATATCCTCCGATATAAATCCTCAAGAGCAGAATGCTCAAACTATATTATATTATATCAATTTTCAACGATGATTCTAGCAATTAGAATCATTTAATCGTTAGGGTCATCCGCGTACTTATGAGACTAGTCCCTGCTTTCAGTTCCCAATAATTAAAATTGAAACTGTAGTAAATATCATTATTCTTTGTTGCACATATGTGACACTGAATTATAATCTCAAAATATGAGATTCTTCGAAATATTCCTTGTTTTAACTGTATATAATTATTTGAATCTTCAATGTTAAAGTACAAAATGAATTAATTATTAGTTCAATTCGTCTCGTAACACGATAGATAATCGTTTTTAAATTTTAAACAATTCACAATGTTTAATACAACACTGGATAATAATTATAACAATTTTTTTAATATGTTAATTAAAAATACAATTTTGTCTATATACTTATCGATAAGTAATATAACATTGTTATTAGAAATTTTAGTTTTTGTACCTATAATTTTTATTCCAATCTTCAATGTTTAATTTTCCTGATATTATAATATATAATATAATAATATAATATAATTAATTAAAAAGTAAAAAAAAAATTCAACAAATTTGTTATAAAATTGTTGCAATTTTTTCCAGTATTATATCTTGTAATATATGTTATCATTATTATAAATCTTTCAAGACAAAACTAGATATACAATCGTAAAGTGCAATTGAGCAAAATAAATTAATGTATTTAATTTTAGTTAAATTTAATGTTTTATTTTCGTTTAAAGAATACATTAATGTGTGAGCAAATAAAACCAGAATTATTTCTTGAATCGAGATTTTATAAAGTTTTTATTCTCTGATTTGATACCACAGAATTTTGAATAAAGCATAAGTGAAGTAAATAAATAATTAAAAAAAACACATAAATCAGATATTTTTCATATTAATTGCATTATTATTGGCAAAATGACGAAACATTAATCGTCAAATAATGGCACAATTTGCTTACACAATACTTTTCTTTCTTTTTTTTCTAAATCATAGAACATGTTCAGACTTATTTTTTTCTAAGTTTACACAAATTAACTTTGGATAGAGATCAGTAATTGGTGCTCAATGAAAAATTATAAATTATTTAAATTTTTCTTTTAATACGCTTCTTTTATATTTTTTAAAAAAAATCAAAACTAAAACTAAATTTCGTTAATGTTTATATTTGACGCTGTATAAACGAGAGAAAAAAACAATATTTTTAATTAATATTGTTAAGTCATTAAAATATTTAAAATATGCATGTACGTATAAAACTTTTTCTTTTTCTATGAAGAAAAGTTATCTAAATGCATTGTTTTCTGAGAAAAAAATTTTGAGTATATTTAAATAAAAGAAAGTAAAAAAGAAAAAATAAAGATTTAATATTTTTAATTATCAAATTAGCACCAATTACCAATTAATGTATATCTCAAATGTAAGTTACATAGTATTAAAATTATAAAATATAGTAATAAAAATTATATATAGGAACAACTAGATTCGTTCTTGCGTCTTTTATCACATAAGGCAGAATTTATAATTAAGATTTGTAACTGCTTAAATGATAAAAAAATAGTAATTAATGAAGTAATACAAAAATCGTCAGATTAATCTTCCAATAGTATTACTTCGGCTATGAAACACAATTTTTCTTAATTTTTCTTGCGCATTTTTTGGCTGAATTTTTATTAGAAATTAAAATGTGATTTCTGGTAACAAGGTAAATTCCAAAAACGTTGTTCCTTTCCGAATTCTTCCCCTTGTTTAATGGTCTGAGGAAGATTCTGTCCTACAGTTTCTGGGAGAAACAAAACAAATGCAGCACCCAAGCAGGATACCATACTGATTATCAGCATTGGAAATCCTTCCCAAATTTTAGCCTAATAAACAAATGAAATAAATTATTAATAAAATAACTAAATATTTCCTTTCATTTCCAAATTATTTTTTTTTTTAATGACCACAAAAATTTGTCTATAATTTCAAATATGTCAAATAAAAAATTTCTATAAACAATTTTGCAAAAGATAATAATTTTTTACAAATGGAACAAAATTTATTATTCAAACTTTTAATTGATTAAAAAAAAAATCAATTGCATCATTATTAAACTATTAAAGTAATTAAGTATTTGATTTATTAATTAAAAGTTTAAATAATAAAAAAATGATTTACGTTTTTTCAAAGAATGTGATTTATATTTAAATTTTGAATTCTTTGTAATTTCGTGATTATCTTTTAATGATAAAAATATTTTATTTTATACTTTTAAATATATAATTAATTACAAAATTTTCACTTTAAAAAAATTCAATTATAAATTATATTGTTAAAATTTTTTCAACAATTTCTTTTTGTGAAAAGAAAAATGAAATATTATTAATATATAAATAATAATGTTTTATATGTATTTTTTTTTATTAGAATATCATTTCGAAAGGTTGAAATTAGTTCTTATTAACCAAGTTATATAAAAAAAATGAGGAAAAATTAGAAATTGATTTTAATATTTTCACGCTCTTAAAGAGATTTCAATTTTTTACATTGAAAAAAATAAATTACTCTATGCATGATCCATGATTATATATTTATACAAATTTTCATTAGAATCAGATTTTTTAAAATTAATCAATTTCCTTGCATATAGAGAAAATTTAAATTAAAACAACAAATTAAATATAAAATGTTGAAAAAAATTCATGATAAAAAATATTCTTTTCTTATTGATAAATTAATTTCATTAATGATAATAGATAATAATAATAAGAGAAATTTATTTACCGAATCAATGATATATGGTGCCAAAGAATGCGCCACTATTCCAAATATATGAATAAGAGATACACCTTGTGACCTGACAGGTGTTGGCAAAAGTTCTGCTGCGTACTGAAGACCAACATTAGCTGCCATGTTTAAGCAAAATCGTGATAAAACTGACATAACTAACTTAGCGATCACTGCAAAGTACAGTTAAAAACAAATTAACTTATTAATCAATAAAATTGTAAAAAATAAGATTTATTATAATTAATTTGTTAAATCTAAGATTTGGAAAGAAATATAAATGAATAGAAAAAAAATTATAAATAAATTATTTGATTTTATAATAACATTAATAAAATACAATAAAATAATGATAGAAAAATAAAATAAAATTTAAAAAATAAACATTAGTATAATTAATATAATTTTAATTTCTACTAAATTCTCTTCTAACTTTCTTTCAAATTAAACATATATAAAATTAAATTATAAAATAAAATAAAAATTGTTCTTAATTACGAATTAAAAATTAAATTTCATATGTCACAATCTCCAACTCAAGTTTTAAACTTTTACAAATATGTAACAAATATTAGAATATCAAGAAACAAACATGTACGAAATTATATATTAACAGTTATCAATATATCAAATTATTATCTTTCAATATTATTACTTCCACAATAACTTTCCAAAATTTACTTTAATTTTCTATTCTTAATGCATTACAATTGCATGATTTAATGAAACAATAAAAATATATTATATATTTACTAGAATGCAGCATCAATTCTGCAATACTGAGCAAACATGTCAATGCCAATGTAAGAAATCCACAAAATCTACGTCCCCATCGGTCCAGCAACAGGGTGAGTAATAATCCAGCTGGAAGTTCTGTGGAACAGGCAACCGAGAATGACACAAATACCGAGCTCTGAATAAGTTTTAATGAATACACGTGGCCATCGAATGAGATTACAGTGAGACACCTATAAGAAGATATTGGTCATTTCATCAAGCTTTCCTCGTTAATTAGTTTATTATACTTTCCAAAATAAGATTAGGAGAATGGTGTTTCTTGCCAGACGAGGTGTTTTGAAGAGATCTAATACCGTTGCTGTTTCTTGTATCTTGTCTGAAGCTTCCAGATTACTCTGCAATTATTTATTTTAAAAAAGATAAAAATATATTGAGATTAATTCATATATAGTAAATTCTTGAGTATAATTGATAATAAAATTATAAATAATAAATAAAATTATAAATAAATAATAAAATTTATTTTCGTTAATTGTAATTATTAATTACAGATTAATTTCACAATTAATTTTCCAAGAATTAGATAAATATTAACAATCATACGAATGTTTAAATATCAAGTTTTAATTTAAAATTAAATTTAGTTTATAAGTAATAATAAATTGTTAGAATTTAAAATATACATATAATATAATATAAGAAAATAATTGAAATAGCTAAATGTATTAACAAGCATATTATACAATATCTTCAATTATGAATCTATCAGACAATATTACTCTTTAAAAATTATTTGTTTGATCGAACTTACAACGAATGCATCGTAAATACGAGGATCTGGATTTCTATGATTGATCTTTGCTATTCTTCGAAGTTTTTCGACAACTTTATCCGTCATCCCATTGGAAACATACCACCTTGCAATGTAAATATTAATCGCGTAAATCAATGAGTAAATTTTCGTCCATTTCGACCAGAAGTTGAAGGATTTGATTGATCAAGAGTTTACTCACCGGGCACTCTCGGGAAGGATCCATGGTGTAATGATAACTGATAAAAGTGGTATAGCAGTGACGTAAGTGAAATACCTCCAATTGGAGATATAATAAGCCATCCATGGTAAAATAGTGCTAGCAATTGCGAAATGTACACCAAAAGCAATGTTCACTACTAACGTTCGTTTCGAGACCGCCATATATTCAAGCACTGTGAAATAATTAATAATCGTTAAATCTAAACATAAACATTGTATGTAGAATTATTGCATGTTAAAGATTTATAAAGTGAAAACAAATATTAATAAATTCAATGTAATTGACGTTGAATTATTAAATTATATAAACTATCATTACAGAAAAATTAAAATTTTAATATTAATTTAGACGAATTTTATATTATTTTAAAGGAACATTAAAACTTAAATAAAACTTAACTATCACAATTTAATTCTAACGACTCTTCTAATCTCTGATCTCTTTCTCTTAGATTGTAAGAAAATAAGACATTTATCATAAATTAATCAGAATCGCCAGAAAAATCAATCTCAATAAATTAATCATCTTAAATAATAAGAAAATTATGAATTATTGAACGAAGTATATTAAAAAATGAAAACTGCAACTTATCAAGAGTTAAGCACCATCTCATCCAATTGAATCGCTCACCGATAATCAAAGGAATGTTGATACAATTATCAAATGCGAGTCCAGTGAGGAATCTGCAGATGGCGAATGACCAAAAACTGTTCGCGCTGGCAGTGGCGATGGAACTGAGAAGGGCTATGCTGTTGCAGAACATCAACGCGGGGATTCGACCCTTGTGATCCGCAATCCAACCGACTAGAAAACCACCGACGATAGATCCGCAGAAAAATATGGCCTGCGCCGTTGATATGAGATATTCACGGTTGCATACCCAATCTAGCTAATCAGCAAGGGCTTAGAGTTAGTCAGTGAGAAAGAAATGAAAATTGTTGATTTAATTAAACATGTATAACGAGTGATGATTCTTATAAAATGAGTTTGAAATATTTTAATATCATTTCGAGTTTGAGTATTTAGATCTGCGAAGAGTGTAATGTTTCTTGGTTAAATTTTGAAAAGTGGGAGAAAGTAGAAAAGAAGAATATAGAATTTTAGTTTTGGATTTTCTTTTTTTAATTCGATCAGGTATAAATTAATAAAAAAAGCTTTTAAAATATAACACGTCGAATTCTGCTCTCTCTTGGCAATGTGTGCGTCATCATATCTATAAACATATCATGGACGTCTAAAATATACAAGGGATAAACTGATCAAAAATTTCCTTATGAAAGTTTTAATTATATAACATAACTAAAAAATGATCATACTGGTATTCATAATTTCGGTAATTTCGATCGCTCAAAGATTATTTTATATTTTATTTTCGCGTGGTAAAAAATTATTCGAAATCCTGTCCTCCATAACATACTTCAAAATTATTTCATTATATTTTTGGAATTTCTTTCTTTTCTTTATTAATATAAACAAATTGAGAATTTCAAATAAATTAAGTAACAAATTTTTTTGAATTTTAAAATATTCAATATTATAAAAAATAATATAATTAATATACAATTTGTAATATATTATTTTTTGAAATTATAAATAATATTTCTGTAAATATAAATATTTTTCAACTAGCATCATTGAATCATTTGCGACCTCAAGATGTAAAAATCAAAAATATTTTAATATCAAGATAAAAATATTTTCTTTAAACTTAGAAATAGAATTCATAATATTGAAATAGATTGAAATAGAATTAAATCGAACTTGGAAAATAATATAAGATACTTCACCTCAGTTCCTATGCTAGAATATGGAATCTGCGTGAAATTGTATTCCCATTGAGTACATTCCACTGTTCTATTTGTTTGAAACTCTGATGAACGTGGATCTTTGCTGCTTTTCAGGATTTCCTTGAAGTCTAGATCCTTCCGGTAACACTGATCGTAATAAGGATATTCATTCGTTACTGGAATCGCTATTTGAATCCTAAACAATGATTTCAATCTCAATGTGAATCATTGACTTAAACTCTTGAATTGATGCATCGCATCATGTTTCAATATCTACATGCTTAAAAATCTCCACTGAGTAAATTATTAAAGAAAAAAAGTTACTCAGTATGATGATTGATAATCAAAATAATTTATATCAAGATCAAATCTTTGGAATTTATTTTATAATATATAATAATGATCGAAAACGACGATTGAAGAAGAAAAAAGCAGTCGAAACATAAAATTTTGGCATTTTTTTCTTCTTTATCTAATCATTATAATTGCAAATAATAAATTTGTGGATAAATTATAATTTGGACAATACAAAATCTCAATCAAATATTACTTATATTGATAATACATATGTATATATTATCGTTATAACAATATTAACAGTATATGTTATATTAATGAATTTTTGAAATAAATTAGTAATTTTTTAAATAATTTAACTCGTAATATTTATGTATTTTTCATTTTGATATAATTAATTCAGATAAAGCAAATATATTAATGTGCATTTGATGATTCAATACTTATTATCGACTTACTATTTATTAATGATACACTTCTTAAAAAATTAAATAAATAAATTTAAAAAATAACAAAAGTGTTGCAATTACAAAAAAATGTGGCAATTCAAAAAAAATTAAAAAACAATAATCTAGTATCTAAAAAAGTTTTCATTATTCCATATTTGCTCTATATTTTTCTTATTTTTGTATATACTCACTTCTCTTCTTGAGTAAAGTTTGTTAATTCGTCTATTCTGCACCAATGTTCCGTGGGGGTGATTGTAATAAAAAATTGTGAGAAATAAAGGAACGCATATGTCATACCATAAGGTAACAACGACAATAACAATAACCATTGGTATCTTCCATAATCTCCGACGTGTGGCAAAACGTCGTCAAAGTTCTCCAACTTTGGCCTCAATCGGGTTATTTCAGTTGGCCCTATGGAATTGCTCGAACTCTTATGGTTTTTCATTTCGCTGAAATATCATATATATGTATATAATATATAAAATTACTTTTTAAAAGAAATATCGATAATCCAAAATATCGAGAGTTCAATAATATTTAATTTTTAAATTTATTTTTCGTGAAGAAAATTGTTAGACATGTATATATAGGAAAAAATGAAAAAATAGTATTGAACTTTGCTGGCAATTCGATTTTCAATAAAATCAATATTAAAATGATATCTGTGATTTTATAACAGAAAGAAGAAAGTTCATAAGAAAAAGAAAAAAAAGATATCAGATTAGAGATGGATATATTTCAAAGGTATTTATTTAAGAGGATAATCTTCAACTTGGAAATTTAAAAAATTATGAAACTTTAGAAATATGTATGAATATACATATTATACGTATGCATGTATTTTTCTTTTTATTGCCCATTCATTCTAAGAATATGAAATGATCTCATTGATCCTTGAAAATCTGACTATTTTCCAATTTTATGTTTAACTTTGTATTCCAATTTTTATAATTCGTGAACAGTAAGAAATAGTTTTCAAACAAAAATTATTTCTTTTAATTACGATTATTATTTGGTAAAAAATTTGTCAATCATTCATATAATTAGAAAAAAATGATGTGTAGAAACATTAATAATTTTTTTTTTAATTTTTTCAAATAAAATCCTAATGCGATTTGTATAACTATGAAACAGCATAGAAAAACAAATCTTTTTTTTTTAAGACAAATAACAAGCTTTGTTGTATTCTTATATTTTTTAATAATCGAGGAAATTTTCAAATCTCATATTTAATGAGCAATGTTTATTTAATAATTATAAAAAAAAATTTATACCTTTATTTCTCATTATACAATAAGTAAATGTAAATGGAAATAAAGGAAAAGCAGAAAACCATTTAGATATAACAAATCTTTATTAGAACTTTTTATAGTTATAAAACTTTTATTTTTTCATGAAATAGATAAAATAATAAATAAATCAAATATAGAATAAAATATAACTTTGAAAATGTATACATAATATAAATATTAAAAATTTTTTTTTCATAAAGATGAAATTCTCTAAAATTTTAATAGAAATTTATTATACTATGCTGACCATATAATAATATGATTATCAGTTGCGCAAGTTCTTATTGCATAATGGAATAATGAAATAAATGTATAATAAATCTTATTGTGAAAAGGAGACATTTAATATATTTTCAAATTTATTTGAATTTTCTTATCACTTATTATATTCATTTTATCATACATAAAAACATCATAATACTTTGATAATGAAAATTAATTATAAATAAAATACTGTAATTTAATGACTTCTATATATGTGAATCAATAATATAATTAAATTATATAATAAGAAATTTTTATACAATTTTTATACAAAAATTTTTCCATATATAGAAATTATATGTACATATATATATAATAAAAAATTTCCATAATATGACAGAAATAATATAGTTTGATATATGTGCATTATATGTATAATATATACAATCAAATGCAGAAATAATTTGATTGAAGAATGCAATTTAACAAAGCTTATATTTATATTTGAAAAAGTATTTATTTTTTTCAATATATTTTTTTCACAATTATATAAGTCATTAATTAAAATTTCAAATAAAAAAATAAATTTTAAAAATTAATATTTTTATTCATAAGTTCTTCAATCAATGAACTTTTTATAATTATATGAATAATTAAAAATTTTTTAATAATAATCCTAATTATAATAAAAAAAAAAGTAATTTTTAGTCTAGAAATTGTTATCTATCTCTTATAGAACACAAGTTAAAAAATAATTTCATTTCATTTCATTTGTTTAGAATAAATTTGGATAACAAAAATATTTTAATATATATTTTTTTCTAACTCTTTGAATATAATTTTTTTTTATTTTTTCAATTATAAATATTTGTAGCGTTTTTCTGATAATTCTGATAAATTATATTTACTTATTATTTAATAAAAAATTTTTTACTTTTCGTTTTTTTATAAATATAAAAATATTTATGTACTTATGTGAAATTCTAATTAACTAAAATGGAATTTCTATATGAAAATAATATAAAATTAGTTCTAATTCATTAGTTTGTTAGTTGACCAAAAAAACTTTTTTAATTAAAAATAAAATTTCTTAATTAAATATTTTCTTTTTAAATTTGTACAAATTTGTGAACAATATAAGAGAATTAAATCAAAGCTAAATTCAAATCATTTAATGTATTAGTTTTCGAGAAAACGAGAAACAAACTCGGATCTTTTCTACAATAATAAAAAAATATTTCTTTATATTGTTTCTTTATATTAAACATATTTTGAATATATTTATTATTATTTGTGCTTATATTATATTAATTACTATATCTACCAAAAATTCGAAGAAAACAGTGAGAGAAAATACATTCTTCGAAAATACTAAACATTAAAATTATTACAAGATTATATTCTAAATTTTCGCAATTGAATTATATAGTATGATAAACAATTTCATATCCGTAAAAAAACTATAAAAATAAACAAATATTATATAAATATTTTAATTAATCTTAAAACCAAAAAAAAAAACTAGGAATAGAAATAAAGAATTAAAACATTCAGAAATTATAAAAGTATTACAACTTGACTGATTAATATGATAAAAAATTTTTTAAATTTATTAATCTTACTGCACTCTTGAAATTTTTATGTCTCAATCTCATTTCAACAAATATTTAATATATATAGAATAAATAAATCATTCATATTAACAATGAAATGTAATATATTATTGAGTTAAAAATGAAAAAAAAAAAATATATATTACCAATTAAGAATTTTGTTATATTATTATTAATTATATATTATTCAGAAATTAATATTATAAATATCAATAATAATTTTATTTACTTTAAAAGATTTTATATGAGAAAATTTTCCGACTAGAATATCTATCAATAATAATCCAAATCATTTTTTAAATACTTGAATCCTGTAAAATGTAATAAATTTTCAAATCTTTAATATTTTAAAAGAGACTGATAAAATCTAAATAAAAATTTGCTTATATTAATAATAAAATAAAACTTAATAATAAAAAATATATATTTTTGATTTTTTGAAAAATCAAAACAAATATCTAAATTGATATAAAAATTTCGATTCAACTTATTTATTAATAATTATAAACAATTTAAATTTGTATTAAATGAAGCGAGAGAAAGCTATCTCATTCTATTTTACTTTATTTAACGCAAATTTCAATTTATAACTTAATAAAGAAGTCTCAACAGTTTTAAACATCAATTTACATAATAATTTAAACTTCTAGAACCAATCCTCCAAAAAGAATTTATTCCATATATTTCATAAATATATTAATATTATGTGAATTATAATATTTAATATATATAATATATTAATATTATTGAAATTAATAGCTTCTAATAAATATCTAAATACTTTATATATAAATTATTTTAATTGAAGTAATATAAGAAATAAAGAATCAGATTGCGATCGCATTGTAAATGATCAGTCAGCTATGTCACATTTGTTTTAATTGATTTTTCTTCATCCTTCTTTTTCAGCTGACTGTTCACAATACGTTATGATCGTAAATTACTTTTACTCTAATAAAAATAAATAAGTATATATATTACGCTACTATATTTCTATTTCAATAAAAAACATTTAAAATAATGTTAAATCAAAATATTAAATCTTTAATTATCTTCAATAATTCAGTAAAACAAAAGATATGAAATCCATTATATTGATCGATTCGATATTTCTACTGTCAAAGAAGCACTTATTCCCTTAAAAGAAGATGAATCTTACCAGTCATTCATATTATTATTTACACTCCAATATATCGATCGACGAAAATTACGAAAGGGTAAAAGATTCGTAAAATAAAGAAACACGTGTATCGTTCGATGGATGTTTGAGAAAGAACTAAACTCACGACGGTCAAAGTCTGGCGAGTAGCAGTGTCTGTTTCGTTTTAGACTCGGTTTAAACGTTGAATCAAGTGTAAATGTTTATTCGAGTGCCGGCCAATTATTGTACCAAGAGTTAAGTGGATTGTGACACGCGACTTGTTCAAATTGAATTGTAAATGAGGTGCGTACGTATTCGGTGGGGAATACAATTTTAAACGATTAATCCGCTATAGTAAATTGCATGTGTCTGGAAAAAGTTCTAATGAAAAAAATAAATTAATAGTGGCGCTGAAGTCATCATTCAAATGTTAATGGATGTGTAATCGAGATATGATTCATCGAACTGAAAATATTTAATTTATTTTAGTGCATCGAATTAATATCGTGATATAAAAAAGATTATCATGACAAAGGATTTTATATGATAATTTAATTGCGAATGAAAAAGTTTCAATCTTTGCGGACGAATGATATCGAAGTTAAATAAAGTTATATAAAATTATAATTAAATTAAATTAAATTAAACCTCTAATGTGTGCAATACTCAATTATTAGTAATCAATAATATTCTTCTTTAATCTTAATATTTAAATCTTTTCTAGATATTTTTGTGAGATGTATAATTTTTCAAGTGAATGATATTCATTTTATGTTGGTATAATTTTAAAATAATTTAATATCTGAATAATATAAAATTGCTAATTTCTTTATGTTTTTAACATATTAGTATTATCTCGTTTTAAAAATAAATTGTCATTTCTATTTTTGCTATTATTGTTATTATTATTCCTTTTAGAATTAAAATTCATTGAATCTGAACTTGACTGAAATTAAGTTCAAAATAGTGCTTTTGAAATATCGATTAGATTATTGATTATTTTATTAGATCGAAGAATAAAATAATAATTTTGTATCAATGATATTTTATTTTTATATCAAAGACAATTGAGATATGAAATATTTATTTTTAAATTGATACAATTATTTTATTATCTTTCATGGAAATATTAATTGATTGTACATTGAAGATAGATATGTGATTTGATATTATTATGGAATAAATATTGAAAGAAAATATAATACTTGATGGAAATTAATATCTAAATATCCTATGCTGTTTCATTTAGAAAAATAAATATATGTTTCAAATTTATAATAAATATTTAAAAAAAAGGTGTTTTTTAAATACAAATATAATTACATATTTATTTGCTTATATGTTGTACAAGTATTAATAGTAAAATTGCAATTCAGGAACTTTTTCCAATTTTAATTATTTCATTAGTTTTTTATTTGTTGTTTATAAGAAATCAATCAAGAAAAATCGAAAAAGTAATGTTGCTTTTGTCATTTTTCATCTTATTTTCATTATATTCATATCAGATTCATATTATACAGAATGATCCATTTAATTTTATCATATTTGGGATATTTCATTTGTTTTCGATAATATTAAAAAAATGTTCTTTATAAGAATTAAATGATGGAAACATGTAAAACGCCGAATGACGCAAACAACACCGAAAAAATTAAAGACAAACACAATTATTCGAATAATATATTATTCAAAACATCGAATAACCGCAGATAATTATAGCATAGAACAGCTGAGATTTGAAAAGAATAGATAGAATCCCAAATATAAAATGATAGCTGCTACTATTTATTAGTTTCTGAGATATTATTCTGAGATATTATTTCGGTATTATATATCAAATATGCATATGTTTACACTATATATCCATCCGTGACATAATATATGCAACTATTTTTTTATCTATTATTTCCACAGTGTATTGATTGGCATCCAAAATGTATAATTATAAAATTAAAATATAGAATTATTATCATGTATATATTGCTTCGATCAGATAGTAATTTCAGTTACTGTAATTTTCGTCTAAGAATTATATTTTATATTTTATATTTTATTTTCGCATTCTGCCAAAAGTCTCATGGATATAACTGAATGTTGTGATATTTATTCAGCCGTTATATATTTTGGTAGTATCGACTGCCACGATGTGTTTATAGAAACAATAGATAAGCATATTGACATATATATACATAATAATGTCGAAAGATTTTATTAATACCTAGAGAAACTAATAAATACTCATAGCTAAAGTTTAATAATTTAGACAATTCTATTCTCTGAATAATATTATTCAATATGATAAATCATATCATACCTTATCCTTAATTTTTTTTTTATATAGATGTGTGAAGAATCTGTTAAAATTAACTTTATTTTTGAAATTGCATTAATAGATGCGATTATTTTTTATAAAAAATATTAAACTATTCATGTCAAAAAATTGAAATTAATTGAAAAGATATTTTATTATAATATGCATCCCTCATTAAAATCATTAAACTTTCGTTTGAAACATTTTTTAATTATAAAGAAACAAAAGAAATATTCTAAATGATAAAATTAAGATCACTGTATATTGACTTTTTTGAATATATGAAGAATTTTAATTAAATACTTTCTGTGTACATATATTTCTTGTTGTATAACAAATAAATCTTCACTAAAATTTCAATATCTAATAATAATAATAAAAAAAAAAAGCTAAATGATAGAAATTCATTCAAAATAAAATAAATAAATAATATATTCAAATGCTTACGTGTCACCAAACGATTTGTTGATACTAAAGTTCACAATAATTCAAAAATCACAATTTCCAAAATGTAACTTAAAATAAATCACTTTTCACTTTTTTCTTTGTTCAAAATATCCCACAATTTATTAAATAAACGTAACTTGGATTAATTATAAATTCAATCAATCAATATTTAACAGTAAGTTATATAGTTAATAATCGATAACATCCTCGATAAAACTTTTTTTTTAATATTCCATTGGATTTTATCGAAATCTATCTTCACTGTTCTGTTTGAATTAGAGTTGACTAACTATCAATCGACGAGATGATCTAATATACTTTCCTTATCAAGATTAATCAAACAATTTCTGCGTCACCTTAGCATCTTCATCCTTGATCCTTAATTCAAAAATGAAGAAATAAAATTGGCCATTAAAAATATTTAATAATTTTCGTTAGAAAAATCAAATCGATAATAAATCGATACAAGTTATTTCAAAAAAGAAATTAAATCGATGATTTTTTTAAAACAGATAAAATCGACAATAAGATAAATTGATTGAAAAAAAAAAAGATCGTAAAGAAATTAAAAATCGATGCAATTTATCTCAAAAAAAAAAAATAAATAAAATCGAAGATTAACGATTTTTTTCACAAAGATAAAATTAATAAGCCGATGAGATGTCCTTTGAAGAAGAAAAGATATTATAATCGACAATCCTCGTAAATTTCTTCAAAGAACAAATGAAACCGTTACTTGAACCAACAATCGTCGTAGTTTCTTTCTTGAAAAAACAAAATCGATGATTGCACAAACGATTTCTTCAATTTGAAGTTTTCTTCCCAAAGATAATTTGTAATGGAACAAACGCAGAAATTTCTCTTCTGAAAAAGTTTCTACTTCTGAAGAGGAGACGAAATGATTCGATAATCGAAGCTCGATCAATGGAATTTTCCTTGTAAAATAAATACGAACGTTAATTGATCGTACACGAGAAGAAATAGGATCGGATGCTCAGACGACGACGCTCGATTTTCCTCTGATAGAATAAGAGGAATACGTCCGATACTCGCGAGGCCTTGTACGAATATGAAGGGGAAACCGGCTCGCGTATCGCTGATATAAGAAGCTTGTGCTTAGTGAAGACGAACGCGATACTCCATAACACGTGTTTACCAATGAAGAAGAAGGAGAGGATTGAAAAGGACAGAAAGGAGAAAAAGGAGAAGAATAATTGCTGACTAGCAGCCAAATCGACGCAATTTCACACGATTCTCGAATTGCTAGCAACGATCACGTGCTTGCATTGCTATCGATCCAATTCTCTGTATATTTGTCGTTCGACGACGATAAAAAATTAATCTTTATTCTTCCGTAAATTCTTGTTCTTCTTTATCGTTTAATGATGAAAATATTGAGTTAATTGAGTTGAAATATGATTTAAGAAGGATTGAGATAGCGTTCGAGATAGTGTTTCGATATAATGATTGATATTTTTTGTCAATTTATAGATTTGGATCAATTTAGATTGAAAAGTAAAATGATTTTTATAAATATACGATTTTAAAATTTCGTGGATTTACCGTGTTGTTTAAAAAAAATCAATTGAATCGATAAAAGATTTAAAGGAAAATAAAACTTTAAAGAACGATTTTATTAATTTTTCGGTTGACAAATAAAAAAAAAATCTAGATTAAAAAGTAAAATTTTTTATGTAGATAACTTTTTGTAGATTTGATGTTAAATTTTATGATAATAGCACAAAATAAAGAAAATAGTAAAAGAAAAATGTAAAATTACCAAGATTAAAAGATTATCACAAATGTTAGAAAGAAAAATTTAAATTTATGAAAGATCATAAACAGATTTAATCTTTACGATGAGTAAATTTCTACATTTTATTTTTGATTTATAAGCTGATTTCAAATATTATATAACTTTGATATATATATATATATATATTTTTATAACTGATGACTTATCTATATTTATTTTTATTAAATTGAGATATGATAGAAGCTCATATATTTATTTATATATTAAAATTAAAATTGAAAAAAGAATGTCAAATTCAATTATATTATATTATATTCTTCTGATTCTAAAGATTTTAATTGCAATAGAATTGATTTTTTTTTACTTCTAAGAAACATACACATTTCACACTCATAATGCTTTATTCTTCAAACTATATTCATTATATTTTTTGCTACATTATATCAACTATTACTATATATATTATACTAATATTATATATTTATTACTATCAACAGATATATAACGATTAATTAAATCATATCAAATAAAGGTTCTTTTGTACTAATATGACGATCAATTAAAATCATTACTCTCAGAGTATCCGAACAAGTAATCGAATTGTATAAACCATATAATATGAGTATTTCAAATTTATTGACAAAATCTATTAATGCAATTTTTTTCATTATTTTGAAAATCACAGATTAATGCGAATTTAAAAGCTATTCCTAAGTATATCCATTTATAGCAACTATTAAAGATTTCTTGTTCAATTTAATTTCATTAATCTATAAGCATTTTGTATTATAAAAGTTAATATTATAACAATTAAATAATTTTATATAAAATATAAATTTCAAACTTATTTAATTTACTAATTGAGATAAATTTCATTTTTGCTATTATATTGTACAATTTTTTTAATATATATTACGAAAATTTTTCTTCTATACTATTAATTTTTTTAAAACAAATATTATTTATTTATTATATTATTTAGATTAGAATTTAGATTATTTTGAATTAGATTGCTTTGCAAAAATCGGTTTCTTTTGAAATCCCTTGAAAATATCCTTGAAAAACCGGTTCCTTCTGACTTCATTTTAGGACGACATTCTTTATACAGGCAAAAAATTGAGAATGAATATATTTAAAATAATATTATCTAAGCCTGTAAGAATAACATTTATGATATGATATAATTAATGTATAATTAACAAATTATAAAAGTAACTGAAGTTTATAGAATTTATGAATCTAAAACTATATATATAATCAAATTATTAATAATCAGTTGAAAAGATTATAAATTCTACATTTTAAAATATTTAATGATTTGTACAACTTTTAAATATAGTAATAATAATTTTAAATTTTTAAATTTCATATGTAATTAAAATATCATAATAATTTTTAATTATATAAAAAATATTTTATTTAAAATATATTTCCATTTATTTTCTTGTTTCTTCTTTTCTTCTTCAAAATATAAAATTATAATTTCAAAATGATCATAATAATTTGACGGCTATAATTTCTCAAACTAAGAATGGAAAAAAATTAAATAATGTATAATAAAAACTATAAAAAAATCGTAATAAAACTGAATTTTTTTTCATACAAAGAAAATTATAAAAAAAATTAAATAATAATAAAAATAAAATTAAAATTAAAAAAATTAAAATTTAATTAAAAATATAAAAAAAACATATATTAAATTGTCAGTAACTTATATTAATATATAATAAACTTATGTTAATATATATATATATAAATGTTAATATATATGTGGAACATGTATACATGTGAACAGCTGAAGTTTTTATTAAATAAAGTGAAATGGAAATAGAATGGGATCGTTCTATCTTTAATACATTGCCATCTGTTTTCGCCTCGTTTCATCTAATACGAACTTAAATTGCTTAATAAATAAGACTTAACTGGTATTTTTGTATATCAACTTTCCTGTTTATTTTAGTCTCTAGAGATTCTCTCACGAAAAATTATGCATAATAAAAAAACAAGATAAATTCTATTACATATGGAATGCATCTAATTATTACACTTTAAAGAACATTTATAAAAAAAAAATGTTAAGATATTTGTATCTTAATAATTAGTGATTAATAAATATTAAATGAGAATTTAAATTCAATTTAAATAGCAACGTGAAATCTATTTTCGAGTGACAAGTTTAACGGTTACTGGCGTTGATAATAACAGAGAAGCACAATTATAAAACCGTTACCGTAACCAGTATTATTTCAATTAGAATTTCATTTGCACTTGATCTATTATATCGCTTTTAATCTGTACATAACATTGATCACGAAACAGAGAAAGAACACGAACTACGACAAATGTATGATTACGATGTCGTTCCATGTCTATAAATATTTTTACACACAATATAATTAAAGATCTTCGATGCTATTTCCACTATATGATATGATATATCTATTGAAATTGACGCGTACATTAAGCTGCGTTCTCATTGAAGCAATAATAAAGAATTTTTTATCAATCTTCCATATTTTATAAAAAGCTTGTCAGATGTTGCCATTTTTTCTTTTTTTACATTTCTATTGTTAAAAAAACCGTCGTTTATTTCTTATTTGAAAATAATACACAACTGGTAATTGAGAAACTAAATTGATCAATTTATTGAGATTAATAAATTTGGTTTCTGAAAGTTCATAGAAAGTTCATAGAAAGTTTCTTATTCTGAAAGTTTATATATTTTAATGTTAAAAATAAAAATTTGAAAGAATAAAAATGACATTAATTACTTTAGTAAATTATCAAAAATAATCATTTAGAAAAATTTAATTATATAATGTTAATTATATAATTTTGGCTAAAATAAAAAATTTTTTAAAAAATAAAATTCATCAGTATTAATATTTATTCATTAAGATTATTCATTTGGTTTCTAAAAAAAATAAATACTAATCATATATTTTGGCATTAAAATTAAAAGTCTTTCAAAAAGGATTGATCAATTTTACTTCTTAATTACTTCTTAATAGAAAAAATATTCTAATTTTAAAAATTCTATTCTATTTTTAAAAATAAAATATGATGATATATATATTTTTTTGATATTTTATATTTCATATTTTATTTTTAAAATAGCAAACATGCATTATTACAATGAGAATAAATATTTTTTTTGTAATATAATAAATTTAACTTCGAAATTAAAACAAAACTCAAATGCTCTTCTTATTATGTTATCAATATAAACAAAATGTTGCAACGTTGCAATTTGATGTAGATATCTTTTGAAACATAAGTAGTAAAAATAACAAAGTTCTTCCTTATTGCTTTAATAGAGAAATAATAGAGAAACAGGCTTGTAACACACAGATTTAATATTATTTAAATGACCTTCGAAACCACATGAGTCCAATTATACAATTTTTTTATTGAGAAATTTTAAATCTAATCACATGCTTTCAAATCAATTTATTCAACTTGCCTTTGTTTTCTATCGCGACAAGTTATTCACAAGTTAAAAATTATGGTTATGATAATGGCGGTATCATCTATCAAAAAAAAACTTCTTATTGATGATATAATAGTATAGTATGTCTTTCATTTAAGATAAAAATGAAAGATAAGAACTTGAAATGATAAATTATTTAAATTAAATTATTATCTTTATTTTAAAAATAATATAAAGAAAATTTTATTTTAAATGTTTTAAAAAAAATGTTTTAT